GGAAACAAAGATTGGGGGACTCACTATTAGGGCTTTAACTCTCATTTCCAAAACAACCAGTGAATTGCCTCCATGTCGAGTTTGCAGTGAAGGGCTGGCTTTATTCACACCAGCGGAATAAAATAAGGCCAAGCTCTTTCGGGAGTGAACGGCTGGGCAAGACTGGGTTTTCAACACCCGTCCCAAAAGGCTTACTCTGTGGTGGCAGTGGAATATGTAAGACTGGAGTGAAGTATCCCAATCTGCTGCTGGCGGAGGTAAAGCAGTTGTCACCTGAAACCCTTCAGGACTTAGAATTTTCTTAATGCTCTGCCTTGTTGTGCGAGCCCATTGAAAGAACACTTCAGAGGGCACCCATTTCTTACTAATGTAAACTTTCTGAGGAGTATCCAAAGATATGACCTCTGGGTGAACCTTTAACCTTCCCCTTAATTATTTGTTTGAAGACAGTGTCGAGTTCTCCCGCTGAGAGCCAAGGCCCATAATGCTTCGCAGCCCTGTGAGCCGGGGTGTGTGTGCCGGGAAGTGGAGAGGGACATAAATAAGGGGACCACCAGATGTAAATAATAAAAGTGGTTGGGGTTTAAATAAAAAACAAAAAAGCAATTTGGTTTCCCTGAAGAGTGGCCTGATGGAAGAAAAGGGGTTAGTAAGATGGAAAGCCCGCGCATGTGGGGGGATGTTTCTGTTGTCTGTGATTTTTTACAGGCCTAAATAAGCGTTCATTCCATTCTTTAAAACCTTGCCATCTGTATACACCATTAGAAGCTCATAGGAGAAGAGAAAACAGTCTTATCAGGCTTTCCTGTTAATCTCTATTGGCCTTAACTTTAGCTGATAAAAGGCGCGCTGGACGGAGGAGGTTCGGGTCAGGCCCCATTTGGTCAGCGCGGTAACGTTCCTGGGAAGGAGCTCAGCAAATGAAGTCCTATCGGGGACCTTTGTCTTTGAGGGTGGAAACGCGCCTCGAAATCACAGCGTCGGGGTAGGAGATGCCTTCCCCGTGCCGCAGTCAGAAGGGAATAAACAAGTACATCGACTGTGTCTGAGTTTTTATTTTAATACCTGTAGTCATGACTAATTCTGAGGCAGGATGACATTTCTGACAACTGAATTATACTTTTCCTAAAGAATAAAGAATGTCTTTTGGATGTAAACAGAGAGATGCAAAAGAGCCCTTTAGTGTTACTTGTAGCATTTATGCATCTGTCTAATGAAATTTCCACGACTGTGATTATGGAAGATGCGATCGAAGGTGTGCAACCGTCTTTTATTATCTGCGGAGGAATTTAACCGGGGGGCGGGAGGGAGGGAGGGAGGGAGGCACGACAAAAGGCCTTGTGGAGTTGATGCTATATAAAGGCTAGCAATTTACTAAATGAGCAGATGAACTTAGTTTTCAGTTAACTGACTGAAAGACTTCACTAGGCATTGGATCGGGCCCAATGGCAATTATTGGAGGCTGTTTTGGATGATGGGCATGTTAGTATTTCTGAAGAGGATTAAAGACTAGTATTCGACTTCATTAGCACTCCTTAAGGGTCACCAGCCGAAAGGCCGAGCTGTGAAATAGCACACAAAACGTGCGCAAAGGCTCCGAAGTGTTCTCAAACACAAAGAAGGGGGACAAAAACAAGCGTGGCTCCTGAGTGACAGAAAATTGCCCTGGTTTGAAAGAAACTCTGCGAATAGGCAGGTTTTAAAATTATTTTAGGGAAATTAATTTGGCTTAGCTTGTGCTGATGTGGATCGCTGCGCATTAAGCTAATAAGAAATATGCAAGCACTTATTTTTGGATTACCAGCAAAATTAAATCCAGGCTCCGCAGCCAACTAACCGCCTTTACCAGTGCTCAAAAGCCTCAGCAACCGCCCTGGTTTGAGATAAAAAAAAAAAAAAAAGAAGAAAAAAAAGGCTATTTTGGGCCTAATATTAACCACATGTACCTGCGACCGGGGGTTTCTAACGAGTTGAAAGGTGGCTGGGTTTAGGGCGGGCGCGGGGTGTCCCCGCTCGCTGGGCCGCCGAGGTCGCCCCCAGCTGGCACTGACCTCCTGACGACCCCCGCCTTTACGGGCTCCATCGGCAGGAGTTGCAGAGGAGCAGAAGTCTTTCTGGGCCGGCACTTATTGCTGCTGCACTGGCGATAAAACTTCAGACAGCCTAATTGATGGCTTTGCTGACCTAACGATACCTTGTGAAAGCACGGAGTGGCAAAGCCTGGTCCTCATTTATGGCCAGCTGCAAGGGTAGCTGGATCCCTAGGATGGAGAGGGGGAAAAAAAGTCTCCCAGCCTGTGAACTTTAACCAGGTTCTGAGCCACTCGAAGGAGTTAAAGAAACAATTGTCTTTTAACACAAGTTTTCGGTCGCATTTGCTTGTTCAAAGCCGCCCAGCAAATCCAGCTTTAAGCTGGCTAGTAAGATAAGCGTGTTACTGGTTACAATTTCTGAGCACTTAGAGGAAAATCCTTTAAAGTGAAATTATACTCTGTTAAAA